ATCGATGATCAAAAAGCTTATTATACGGGCGTGCACATGTATGTGACCCCCCAAAGCCGGGCTAAAAATGCGCCTAGGATCACTAGGGCATTTACACCTTCCATTTGGAATCTTAAAATCGATCTTAAGCCTCCAAATTGATGGTTTTGTCAAAGGTCAAGCACATATGGTTATAGGTGTATAACTAAATCGTTGCGTTTGATAAATGATTATGATATAATGCACTGTCGATCAGGGCATTTTGTGTTCGATCTGTGATGAGTTAAATACTTAAGTATTAGTTTAAGGCGCAATATTGTGCCTTTAACTAATTAATTAATTCCATTTAAAGGAAACATTGTTACTTCCTTGGTGTACTAATAGTTAATTAGCGTCAGGAATTAAGTGAGCAATCTTTTTATCCGTGTATATCGGAATTTTTACACTAGGGTTTGCACTTTTGCAAGCCCACAACTACTTACCCCAACTTAAAAATGGCGGTGGTGGCCTAAACATAACAACTAGTGTTTCAATTGACCGATATAAACAACCTCCAATTCCATGGCCATAGAAAGCTAGAACGTGTTAATTCCGTTATAATTGAAATATTTAATGGTGAACGTATTGGCGATGAAGACGTTGCCTTGGTTTTCGCACTAAGACACGTTAACGCTTAGAACCAAATGGTTTCATGCTCGAATGTGGATAGGTTATTCGGGTGGAAATTGCGCTGACTTGCCATATTGGCCGAGTCGTTTCACTAGTGTTATCATACATTTTATGCATAAGGTAAATTTATTATTCTTATCGCGACCTACCATGATGGTAAAAAAATATACTTATCGCGTGTATTCAAGGTTAATTAGGTTAGCCCCAACGGCTCCATTCTTACAAGCCTAGACCTTTAGGAAAAGAGAAAAGTCATGACAAGGCCAATGTGGAAGAAAGAATGTTTTATGTACAGAAGGGTCCAAGGACAATTAGAAGAAAATTTGGACCGTCGGATCGTATGTCCAGCCGCGAGTGTGGCTGAGTCCGAGGGGATGTCTGGCGACAGACATCCAAATAGCCATCGAAAGCTGTCTTTGTCTAAGTAAGTGCTGACGGTACTTAGTCGGACCGGTAGAGGTTACGTACGGACGTAGGCGCAACCGCGAAATTGCCTGTTAGTATGCCACGCCGGACCTAGACTGAGAGTTGGACAAGTTGCGGTCGTTTATATAACAGCGCCTGCTAAGGGCATTCGTCAGGACTGCAGCCTCGACGGCAACTGCAAGATGACTCAGCGGCCGTTACATATTTACGGCGTCATGCAGAATGTGTCAGAATCGAGATGTTAACTTCGGCGCCAAGATTCTGTCGAGTGATTTGGTTCCGCTAAAATATCTAGGGACGTCATCGCTTCAATTAGCATCTGCACTTGTAAAGCCCTTTTACGCATTGAACCTCGTTTAACCTTATCGTTCTTCGTAGCCTTTTTATTTGGGAAAACCTCTGTTCGCGTATCTTCCAAACGTTGACTCAGTATCCAGTCGTAACGCGTACGTCACTTCCGAATGATAATCACTGCTGGTGCAGTACAATGCTATCAATAAAATAATGGTGTCAAAAGGAACAAACCTTCACAGTGGATAAATGTAGTCATGTGATGGAAACATAGGTAAACGCCTTTGAACTCACGATTGGTACATGGTATTTAAGAAATGCATCGGCACAGTCGAACATTTAAAAGAAGTCGTTTACAAAATTTTAGGCGACCACTCGCTTGTTTTAAGTAATACACTGACATGTGGTGATGTCAGTTAATACGAGCCATCAGTGTAACTGAGCAAGAATAGCAGACAGTGAAAAACTCCTAGGGCATGGCTCATAATTTAAAATAGAACATCCTTTGTGGTTTCTAGGAGAAAAATTGTCGCTCGTGGAAGAAAGTATGCGAAATGTAGTGCGAGGTGTGGCTAAGGACATCTATGTGGAGCCAGGGCTGATGCCTAGATGCTGGAGCTAAGCAGAGTATAGGTACACAACAGGTTCATCGCAATTACCTAAGTTATTAGGGAGGCCCTATCTGTTAAGAAATTTAGGTCCGGTTTCGTGCGGAGTGGTCTATCAGCTTCTTCGAGGTAGTTTTTATTCGCGCAACTGTACTAGATTCGGTAAACGACTCCAAGCGTTTTCTGCCGTGACGGCGGCTCCAATGGCACCATTACTTGGCGGCGGATTGTCGCTTCGCGGATCCATAATCTGTGTTGACCGGTGTCTATAAAGAGTAATAAGCCATGTCGAGAGGATGCAGGCGACCAAAAATACCAGTGAAAGGGAGCCACATTGTGGAGTCATCATCATGCCATAAATCGAGAAGGGTGGTGAGGCCTCGACAATTAGCGTCTTGGACACGGACTGACAGTTAATCATCGCGTCCTGTACAATCACCAACGACGAACGCTATATCTGCTAATTGGATTAGGCTCGTGGCTGGATGACAGCTGCGTTCTATATATACTGTACTTCTGGCGACCTCATCGGCCTTATTTGCGACAGTCTCTGACGATTCGTCCGAGCGAGAATCCGAAATGTTAGATCAATAAACGCCCTGTTCCAGCGATCCTATTTTCGGCTTCTAAATTCGACATTATCCAATAACATCAGTTTATGCCTAACAAAGTGTCGACAATGCAGACAGGTTAACACGAATTGGAAATTGGGAGTATTTATCACCGGCATCCCTTCCTTGCGCATTCCATATCGCTCCCTGTCCTTCGCCATTCGATTGGTGTCGAACAGGGCCATGCGAGCGCAATTTTCAGTGATGATGAAGGCTGTAGATAAAAATTAGCAAGGCATGCTTTTATATGTCGGGAAGCATACGTGCAACTTGTTAATAAGAGGCACAGATTGTCTAACCAGTACGCGAACCAACTACCGACGTTGTTAGTTCCGGTATAAATTGTAGGCGTGTCCTAAAGGTCATGTCCACCGGTGGCCGATCAACGAAGACTAAATTTCGATCGGCGTCAATATGTAGTCACGTCGAGGATCATAGTCATCAAAATTATAGTAATAGTAAATGCACAGGGCGATATGGAGACAGCTGGGAAAGGTAAAATAAAACGTCTTGTCCTGGGCAGGATCTCAAAACAAGCATGCACAACAAGATTTAATGGTATTGAAACTTTCACAACTGCTCAAAATAAGATGGTCCTCTGCCGCAAAGGTTGACGGAACATTCCGT